ACCTTTGAAGTTTATGAAGATTATGTCACTAAAGTTTTCAACATAAAGAAAATGAAGCCATACCAAAGCAAACAGGCGCAGCATCATGTTCAGCTCACTGATGTAGGTCTATGTCTCAGTCACTCCACTTGCTCTGCTTAAACCACATCCATGACAGTCCAGACTTCTTCTATGTGTAGCTCAATGGAATGAGCTGCTGAACCAGAACCAGACCATCTCTCTCATCGCATCACGCTGAACCACACTTTCCAAAAAAAAGTTCAAAACAATCCCCTGTTTCCAAGTTTGAAGACGTTTCGCTTTCCATCATGAAGGCTGAAATATTAGGAAGCTGTTTAGCAACGTTGTATGTTTTTGATTGATGTTCTTTCCTGTGAATTTTTGGGATCCATATTAGCATGAAATGTCCTGCCTGGATATAATCTAAAATAAATGGAACGGTTGATGTCCTTTTCTTTTTTGACTTGTTTGAGGTAGTCCGTGACTTTCTTCTTGTAGGCGCTATCACCGCGGCACCCACCCCGTGCAGGGGAGCAGAGCCCCCGCTTTTCATCCAAGCAAGTAATTCCCCCTAACGACCCCCCTTTCAGAGACATAGACAGGTATGGGGTAATGGAGGCAAACAAAAAACCCAAACGACCACCATTCCTAAGGGGCGGAGCCGTTCGTGTGTTTCAGTTTACATGTTCTGTAGCCATAACAAGGCTTTGTTTTTGGTCCACTCTATAAAGCCTTGAACGCTATTTCTGACATTTCTGACATTTTGAATTGATGAAAAACAAACAAAGTTTTTTTGTTTTTTTAACTTTTCTGGAATGACTATGACCCTGATGACTGAGTGACTGTGTTGAACCACACCTGTTCATTTCTAGATGCTGCAATCTGTCGGTTTTTCATTGAAAAAACTAAAATAATTATGTGCAAAAAATAATTCATATTCTTTGGGTCAAACTTAGCCTGGGTGCCATTCCGAACTTAGTCCCGCCCACAAGGTTTGAGTTCGGGGAAGTTNAGCTTTATCCACCGAATGACTTCCTGTTTCTGATGCAGGTTTTGTGTTGATGCTGCTCAGTCTGACCATCACCGTCTTCCTGGTTTCTGTGGCTCTGATGGTTTTCTGCAGAATATCGTTTAAAAAAGTGGAAACAGGCAAGATGGCACACACACACACACACACCTCCATGTTTGTTATATTTCAGAGGACTTTACATCATCTCCTGTAAAACCTTTAGTCGGATCATCTGACGCTACAAATGTGAGGAGCAGAACATTTTCTCACTCTCTGAATGTCCTTAATGTCGTATAATGTTCTCTGTTCAAGTGAAGGTTCAAGTTTACACACAGAAACACTCTGCAGGCTGTGTGTGTGTGTGTGTGTGTGTGTGTGGTGGGGGGGTTATAAACTTTTATTTAAGAAAATTAAAGGTTATTGCCGTATAAATTCACTACTCACATTAGACTTTAACTTTTAATTCAAATGGGCTTATTGCTGAACTAACGTCCCTAGAATATGGCAGGCCGTTTTGACATTTATTAGCTTGACTGAATGTGTAATGAAAAAATATATTTTTGATGTTAAGAATATGATTTTTGGATATCTAGAATGTTATATTAATTTTTGATATATAAAAATAGTAATTATGAAAAGCAGTAACTCTATTATAGAGATCTGAAATTAGAGTTCATCCTCGTCAGTTTTCATTTTTAGATATGAAGTTATTTTAGATATCTGGAAGTAAAAACCCAATACACATGAATGGGAAACGTGACGTCATTTGTACTAATAAGAATAACATTTCAGATACTCGAAATGTTTATTTTATATAGGAAGAATGTTATTTTAGATATCGGAAATGTTCATTTTGACCAGACAGAAATTCATTTGAGACATTTGAAATATATATTCAGTCAAACTAATAAATGTCAAAACGCCACTTAAAATTTGTAAAGATTTCTAGGAATTTGAAAGTTTATTCTTAGTAGTACAATTATATTTTTGGTATCCTGAAATAAAATATTTGCTAGCAGAAATGTAATATAGGATATCTATATGTACAGTTCTGACAAGTAGGAATGTAGTTTTAACCTTGAAGAACTTTATTTTAGAGATCAACAAATTGTAACAGTAGCAAAGACAGCGCCTTTAATAAATGTCAAAACGGCTTGCCATATAGGGCATCACCATATAAGGTGATGCTGGAGCCACTCTGGTCATAAGGTGTCAACATAGAAATGGCTGACGTACACAGAAAGTGAAGAGATGTAACAGGTAGAAAATAAAATACAATAAAAAGAAATGAATCTTCATCACATGATAGGAGTTCAGGACAGAAAACTGATAAAATAATGATATCAAATATATCATCGCAAATATTTAACATCCTTTAATTTGTGCTGTTTAAAAATTACTTTGAATAAATTAATCTGTCTTCTACCTGCTCACATTCCATGTAAACTATTTCTGGGATTGTTTTCAGTTCCTGCTGTCCAAATGGAGCAAACTGTCCCTGCTGAGGTGAGGATGAAGACATTTTGGACGTAATAATTCAAAGTATTAAAAATTAAAAGAACAAATGTCGTGTTTTCTCCCAGGCGGCTCCGTTTTACCAGAACCAGAGCGACGGAGAGCAGCTGTGGAGATCCGTTGATTCCCTCGTCTACTTAGCATGTGATGAATTTCCAAGCAGCGAAGCAGCAGGAGCTGCAGGCAGCAGCTCTGAGACTGTGAGGAAATCCTCTCTTCATGTTGTTCTAATTCCCTCTAGGATCTAAATCCAAACTGCTTTCAGACACTTTCCAATCTTAACAGACGGAAGAGTTAAGATGATTGCTTCCTTCATTAGCTCCCTGAGATCTATGCATTACAGTCACTCCAATGCTAACCGGCTGTAGATGGGGCTTTATGAGGTCATAACTCCCAGGGTTACTTTTAGTAATTGTAAATAGATGTATGCAAATGAACCCACCATCAGCCAATCACGCAAAGTTATTTTGATCCAATCAAAGTATTCGATCCAAATACTTGATCCGGTTTAATGAAAACGTGGCTGAGAGACCATTGGTGGCGTCTGCTGTCTGAATGATCCTGTTTGAACCAATTTAATTCTGAACTAGAATCACAGCAAAGGAAACGATTAATGGACGAATTTCTTCAACACATTCTAAGGTCAATATTATCCCAAATATTTCTCCTCTGTGGACTAAAACTGCATCACTGAGTCTTTTACCTGATTTAAAATGAAAGAAAAAGTCCGATCAGCGAGAAATAATCACTGGATCATTA